TTATAAAGCAATAAAAAGCCGTCCCAAATGAAGCCTAAGGCTTCGTTTCAGGCGGCTTTCTTGCTGCTTCTTAAAGCAGTTTTTTAGTACAAAAATTATAATTTTTATGCTAAAAAGTTATTTTAAAAAAAAAAAAAGTTATTTTAAAAAATAATAAAAAAACCGTCCCAAACTAAGCCTAAATGAGTAGTTAAAATTTGTGGTGAAGGATTAAGGATCTTTTTTGGGAGAAATTATTAGGTGCGGTCATCAAAGGCCATCCGGAGGCGAATCAAAACGCACCACGTTACTTTTTTGCTGTGCATCGAAGTTGTGTATTGTTATGTACCGAGCGACATGGCGCGCGTATCCTGATTCTCCTCCGAACAATCTAATGACCGCACATTATATTTCCCCTCTTGTAGATAGCTTTCTCGTTGGTTTCCTTTCAGATAAAAATCACAATTACATTTGACTAAAATTTTGTTCTTACTTTCTGATTGTTTCGATGGCGGAAAATTATTTTGTGTAGTCATGATAACTAAATTTTTTTTGTAGTAATAAATTTCCAAACAACTTTATAAAATGCACCAATGACCCCAAATATAACATAATTAAAAAAGCAAATAAAAACTATGTAAAATAATTTAAAAAGAGTTAGGCTCCGTTTGGGACGGCTTTTTTATTGCTTCTTAAAGCCGCTTTCTAGCTAGAAAACTCCTTTAAGAAGTAGTAATTAAGATAGTCGTCCCAAATGAAACTTTAATTTAACATTGTAGACCGTATTCTTTAGAAGCAATCGAAAATAAAAAGAGTAGAAGGCTATAATATTGGTGGTGATGTGGTTGTATTAACTCCCCACTTGATAGCTAATGCACAACTAAAAATAGAGTATTAATAGTATTTTATCTAAGAATAGTTTAGAAAACTACTTCAAACAAAAAATAAATTCATCATGCTTCAATCTCCTAAATATTTGTTTGTTGCTTTTAAGGCTTCTTTTGGATGGTTTTTTTATTACTTTTTAAAATTGAATTTTAGTACAATTTTTGTACTAAAACTCTGTTTTAAAAGCAATAAAAAAGTCATCCCAAATGTAGCCTAAGATTTAGTAGAGATTTAAAAATTAAAATTGCCTTTAGTTTTATCTTTGATGTGGCATTATTTTGTAAATATTTCTATTTTGTTGCATACTCAAAATCAAAGCAATCTATGCCATCATAATCTCTTCAATTTATTTAATTTCAAAAGAGATTATTAATTTTAATGAGTACTTTTATTTGTTTAATACCAATCAATTATTATGCTAAATAATGTAATAAAAAAATTAGAATGTTTTAGTTTTTTAGTTTTGTCATTGGATTTAGCGTTTGTTTAGCATAACGTTAGTAAAGGCTATGGTTAGTAATTAGAAAATGACAAAGATATTGTGACCAATGACTATGGAATCTTAGGCCAAAAGCTCATATCATTATTAACATTGTAGATTTCTTGAAGCTGATATTTATAATATAAGAGAATAAGGTGGAGAAAGAATGTAGAGAACTAATATATGGTTTGGAAGGGCAAGAAGGAACAAGGAATACAAATGAGTGGAAAATGCAATGCAAAGAATCATTATATTTAGACTTCATTTGAGATGGCTTTCTTACTATTTTCTAAAAAGTTTTTAGTATATAAATTTCTAGCTCAAGAAATTTTTATATAAAAAAATGTTTTAGGAAGCAATAAGAAAGCTTTCACAAACAAAATTTCAATCAAGTATGGTCATGCTTTAATATAGTTTGATGGATTGATAACGTCTTAGTGAACCTTAAGAACCAACTCATATTATATTTAGTAACTTGTGCTTCATGATATGGTCAAGTGTATCTAGCCAACAAATATAGTTTTTTTTTTTTCATTTAGGCCTCGTTTGAGACGACTTTCTTACTGCTTCGCAAAGCAGTTTTCTAGCAAAAATAAAATAAAATTTTTGTACTAAAAACTGCTTAACGAAACAGTAAAAAAGCCGCCCCAAACGAAACCTTAATCATTAATAAAATCAACTTAACTCAAATAATGATAGATCCGACTAACAGTTTACAATTAGATAAATTATAACGTTTATTTGTGTTTAGGGAATTTATTAGGAAAAATTTAATTAATTAGTCAATATCATCAAGGATTTGGATTTATTTTGATTTAATTTGAACTTAACAAAGAGTTAATGAATGAGTCATCGCATTAAAAAAAAAAAATAGAATTTTATATTGTAAATTGTGTACTTAACTATGCCCTCCACAATGATTGATTTGAGTAAGTAAACTACTCTATGATCACGCACTAACACTTGGCCTTATAGTAATCAAGAAAATAAGAAAATTTCTTAGGTCTCATGAAGTAGCATCTTTTCTATGTAAATAGAAAGAAAAAAGAAAGGTCACAAAAAGGCCCTTAGTATATGTGCTTAAATATTTAATTATATAATTGAGCATGTTTTTGCCCTAAAATATCTCAAGAATACTAAGCCCACAAATTGAAATATAACATGGTAAAATAATTTAATTAGTATGACACTATCAAAACTTGATGTTTCCACAACGGATTATAGCGGCGGTTTGTAAAATGCTGCTATAAATAGGTATAGGTAGCAGTTTTCATCTCTGCTAAAATTACTAAACAGTTGTAGTAGGTCATAAAAGATGCTGCAAATGTCTGATTTATAAGTAATAAGGCTTAATAAAACACACACATAATATATATATATATATATCATGAATTTAATAGAATTGATGTCTTAACTAAAACTCATAATATTTTGGAAATATTTAGGCCAAGTTAGATAAATTCACACACACATCATATACGCAAAATTCAAATCCAAGACCTCGTTGGTTGGGAGCTTAGCCTACCGACCAAGAAATCTCGGGTTCGAGTCTTGTGTATGCAATGTGTGTGAGTCAGCCTTAATTGGCCTAAATGTCCCAAAAAAATCCTAGATCTATAGTTGATAGCCAAAGCTCCCAACTAACATATCAAAATGACCTGCGTAATTCTAAATTTAACTCATCTTTATAAGATTAAGATTCTAAGAAAAATTCCACTATACAATTTACCAAGTATCATAGATCTTCTTTTATGCAATCAAATAGTCCACATATTTAATTAGATTTCTATGGTTTCTGGTCCCCCAACATTTTAATAATTGGTAGCCAACAAAGCAAGACACGAGTAAAATTGGAATTTGTAATGGTGGATTCCAAACTTAGATGTGGAGGTGCATGATGAACAAACCCCTGGCCTTCTCTATATTTAAGATTGTAACACCCTTTAGAATTCGATTTCTTTCTAACGCCAAGTCTACCCAATTGCATGATGCAAAAAAAATAACTTCAAATCAAGCACTATAAACTTACAATTAATCCATAAATAATTAGTATTTCATTTTAATTGATTTGAACATTGTACACCCCAACTTTGAATCAGCCTAGATATGAACTTGACCAAGGGATGTTCCCTTTAGAGGGGAAATCACCTTAGTGCGATTCACAAAGGGTGGGAACTCGCCCCAAGGAAATCGCTCAAGCGGAGCACAACAAAGAAGCCCTTGCCCTGAAAATTCTACATAAAAGGATTCTCCTAAGCAAATCACAATCTATGGTGGTACTCGTTTAACTAAGATGCTTGTACCAAAAGAACTCTCCTATTCAAGGTGATAAATTCAGAGGAGCTTGTATCTACCATCCTATTATAAGAAAACTCACCTACTAGACTAAATTGTAGCAACTATGCCCTGCTCAATTGGTTATTTGATCTATGAAGCCCTCACCATAGGCACTCATCAACGACACTCACTGAAAACTCCTGTCGTTAGTCACTAATTGGAAGCATTCACCAAGTTGATAGTAGACAGTTATTCATCCAATTTAAAGCACGTATGTAACAATCATATATTAGATTATTTTATTATGTTTTTAAATGAACATCTTATGTAGCATTTCCAGCCCTATAAATAAAGAGTTGTGAGGGACCTTTCTTAGCTACTAAAGCTTTTTTTTTTTTACTACTAAAGCATAAAATATAAACTGATTTCTCTTTATTTGTCATTTCTCTTTCTCCACTTTTCATCTTGGCTAATATTAATAGTAAAGTCAAACTATATTTCAATGATAAATTTTGAGTTAACATAATCATAACTATGACGAGCATGGATTAATGCAATTTACAATATACCAAGCATTATGTAAGTATCACATGCATATTATTCTTTTTCCATACATTGAATGCAATCGTAGGTTACGTTTAGCCTAGAGTTGCTTGCTCATTCTTTATTATTCATATGTTTTGAGAAAAGGTAATACTCTAATGGAGTGAAGTCGAGTGTTGCTATTAGAGGTGCTCTTGCTAACTATCATAGTTGAATTATTTTGTAATTATGTAATTAAATATACTTCAAATGAAGTATTGGAAGGCAATGATTATTATGTATAACATTTTGGATGTAAAAATTCTTTTGTTTATATATATATTCTTATGAGCTCTATAGAAACTTGGAATTATAATTGCTTAAATTCATAATTATATTTTGAGACCTAACTAGCCTTATTCTATTGATAATTTTTTAAATACTTACTCTCTTGAGTCTATTAGGGTTAAAAATTTTATTGTTAATGGTAGATGGAACGTGCATAAATTATCTGAGGTTATCGCTCCTAATTTAGTTGAGATTATCATTATGATACCTTTACAAATGCATTGTAAGGATCAGATTTTCTTCAAGTTGTATGAGAAGTTTGATGGGATTGTGAAGTGGATTAATCCTTCCCTTCCTTTTTGTAAATTTAATACTAATGGTTTTATTAATTATTCATCTACTGGAAGTGGTGAGATTTTTTGTAATCATATGGGTAGTGTTATTTTTGCTTTTACTGGTCCTTTAATTTTTTGTGATGTGATTACATATGAGCTTATGGTCTTATCTTACGGGCTTAATTTGTGCCAGAAAATGGATATTTCAGTTGTTTAGGTTGAGGTGTATCCCATTCTTTTAGTCCACATCCTTAAATACATTTTTGTTGGTATCCTTAATAAATTTTTTTCTTATAATTTAAATTAAACATTCACTGAGCAAGTTGAATTGTTATGTTTCTCATATTTATCAAGAAGCTAACCCTTGTGCTAACTGATTGGCTAAATTTGGTTGTCAACTTGTTACCTTTCAGGATTTTGATGTTTTGAATTTACCTCATCTAGTTAGACCTGGATTCCAATGTATATCATACATTCGAATATTTTTTTGGCTTAATATTTTTTTGCAGGTTTCTCCTTTTGTAGGTTGAGTATAATTACCAAGTATTTTGCTATTTGGATTTTTTTTTATAGAGGATAATGCTGAGAATATGTAGTGGATCTTTATTTTTGGGTGTTGGCTCCTGACCTCCGTAGAATTTTCTTAGGTTTCTTTTTGTTGCTTGTACTTTGATGGGATTTTTTACTCTAAGATTTCTTTTATTTTTGATGTAGCTCTTTGCTAAAATCACTAAACCAAAGAAAATTCTACGGAGGTCAGGAGCCTAAGAAATCTTAGAGTCAAAAATAAAAGAAATCTTAGAGTCAAAAATCCCATCAAAGTACAAGCAACTAAAAGAAACCTAAGAAAATTCTGCGGAGTTATATCAACTAAAAGAGCTACTAAAAGAGCTACATCAAAAATAAAAGAAATCTTAGAGTATTAGCAAGCTATTAATCCCTTTTAAAGTTTTGTAATTTTATTTTGATAAAACGTGTAGGCACCTCTGTAGATTGTAACTTTAGGGAAGTTTTTAGGCTCTATAGTGAGACATCCGGAGTCAAAATAGAAGTCATCTTAGATATGAAACCTCATAAGAATCTTACTCAACTTAGAACTTTTTCAACATAAGTTAGCGTATCTTGGATGAATTATTTTCAATCCCTACTGTAGTACTGTGGGTGCCAACAATTTGTTATATTATGCAAAAAGATGTTAGATATATCATCAAAAAATTATCTTGATCGGGCACGAATCTCGAAGAAAAAATCAAGTTGGATACTTCAAAAAATAAATTCATGATCATCTAAACTCTGATTTCAGCAAACTTATAGTCAAATTGAACATATCAAAAATACAAACCCAACAACACCAAATTCAACTCAATCCGAGCTCAAATGAGTCCGAATCAAAGACTCGAAATACATTTGGAATGTTCAAACCACAATTTGGATTAACAAACGATTTCCAAATGCGACATTCTTTTAGTCAAATTGAGCGGCTCAATGAGACAAAACCAACAAGCTCAAGATCACAGAATTCCAACATCATTAAGACATTCAAATCTTCAATAAACAATCCATGATCAAGGGATTCAACATTGGTCGTCCATTCAATTCACTCCCAACTTGCCCCTGATCTCCTCCTTATTTATTGGCCATGCCACTCTCATAATACTATAAATATACCCCTTATTTCACATAGAGGATGACCCTAAAAGGGGGGAAGAAAGAGGCTTAAGCAAGAAGAGAAGAGAAGGAAGCAAGGAAGAGGCTCCTCCTCAACCACCGCTGGACTTTCACCCGACAACCTAGTGATGCTGGAGTTCTTCCAGAATGTCATCTAATGCCAGAGTTCTGCTCGGATGAAAACTGGCATCGGATCTCTACTCGATGCTAGATTTTCGACTGTTATCAAATTCCTTCTAGACACTGGACTTCTGCTTGTCACCGAAATATCGCCGGACTATCACCCGACAACCTACCGAAGAAAAAGTTTTGCCATAATGACATCTAACATCGGAGTTCTGCCCCGGATGCTGATTGACATCAGAATTCTACTTGACGCCGGACCTCTGCTCGTAGCCAAATTTCTACCAGATGTCGGACTTCTACCTGTCGCTGAACTTTTGTCCATTGCCGGACATTTATCGAACTTCTATCTGATGTTAGACTTATGTCCATTGCTAGACTTTTACCTGACATCATCCTTCCGACCTCCGTCGTCAAACAACGATCTTTATGACCTCCATCGCCTGCCAAATACAGTCTTTCCGACTTACGCCACCCACCGACTACAGTCCTTCTGACATCCGTCACCCACCGACTATAGTCTTTTTAAATACATCGCCCACCAACTACAGTCCTTCCTACTTACGTTGCTAACCGACTACAATCCTTTCGACCTCCATCGCCCGTCGACTACGGTCCTTCTGACTTACGTCGCCCACTGACTACAATTCTTCCGACCTCCCTTGCCCGCCAACTATGGTCCTTTTGACTTGCATCACCTACTGACTACAGTCCTTCTGACCAAACGAACACATCAATAATGATTCTTTATATTCCCATATAATAAACATCAAGCTATGACCTTCTCCCAATGAAGAGCCTCATTTATAATCATCTACAAATACTATTAGATTCATTCAAACTAGGCTAGGCCCTATGGTTTTTCCCCCTTTTCAGGGGTTTTTCACGTAAAAGTTTGGTGACTCTTATAAACGCTACACACACACTCTCTCTCTTATCTGCTTTTATGCTTGATTTTTGTACAATGCTAAGATGCAAAACTTTATATTTCTCTACCGTCGCAAATACTCTAAGACACAACAATGTTTAATTTCATTAGCATGCCAAATGCCAAAATACTTTCCATAATATGAAGTAGTACATGATGACACCTCCAATTTTGGTGGCCTTTATTCTGAGGAAGCCAATGGTTCTCTATACTGCTACTTTAGATGATTCTCTTTTGTGGCTTGTTAGCTGAGATTATGAAGAAGAGCAAGATAATGTGCTTACTATTTGAGTCATTGGTTGCTTCCGATTGCAATAAGTTATCCACCTATTGAGAAATATTATCAAGCTTTGATTTTTGTAACACATAAGTTAAGACATTATATGTTTTCTCATAAGGTGAATCTCACTTCAATGATTCAATTCTCTATAATACTTAATGACATAAGCAATTGCCCCCCGTAAGCTTAAGGGGGTTTCGCCTCTGAAGTTAACAGATTGCAAGATGTTATTCTAAGGAAAATTTGCACCAGGTTAATATTCATAGCTTCAGATAAAAGTTTGTTATAATATTCTTACTATGTTTGAAGCGTTGTACAAACGATAAAGCTGAATATGAAGTTCTAATACTTGGTTTAGAATTAGTAATTCTGATTGAAATCCAAGAAATTAAGTTAATGGAATTTACAATTTCTTGAAGCCCAACTTCTTGTTGTCCTTGTAGTATACAATAAAGCCCTTCGAGAAAATTCCTTAAATTACATGATTTTAAGTATTTTTTATTAAAAAAATTAATTTTAAATGCAAAAGACCATCGTTAACTAAATTAGAAAATTAAACCAATCCTAAATAAGCTGAATTATGTGTCAACCTAACATAAAAATATAAAGATTACAACATATACTTTAGATTTATTTGAAGTAGTTCCATTTGAGTATTATTTTCTAGTTGCTTTAAAGCAATTTTTCAAAAAAATTGTTGGTGTGATGTTATTTTTTACAATCAAATTTATAAATATGTGATACTTGTAATAAAGAAATTGCCAAATCTTTTTTTTTAAAATATATTTATAATATTCACAGCAACCTCACAGCAACTTCATAATCATTTTTATTAAATAATGTAACTGTCCCAATAAACGCCAAGTGAATGACTTTAATTAACATCTAAAAATAGGCTTACACTATCCCAATTGAACTGAATTAAACTAAAAATAACCTGAGATATTTGCTTCTAATTTAATTTTATATGATTCAGATTCATTTGAGATGATTTTTTATTGCTTCTTAAATCCACTTTATAATAAAAAAATAATTTTTTTTCTACTAAAAAATATTTTTAAAGAAGCTTAAAAAATGGTTCCAAATGAATTCTGAGTTTAATATTAATTGATGCCCTTTTACCTATCAATTTCAGTTTAACATGCCCTATTGTCTATCATAGGCTCTATTTTTTCATTCCGTCTGTACTCCGCACCTAATAATTTTTCCTGCCCCTACCATAGGCTCTATTTTTTTTGAAAGAAAATCCAAATGGATTATACGGCTAAATCGACCCAAAACTTGTACCAAAGACTGCGACCCACTACCGGCGATCTCGTTATGATGAGAAACGGACGTCTGGGATTTAATTCAGGCGTCGGCGCCTGCCCATCTGATACGAGCAGAAGGACGAACGCAACCAGTGGCACCAAGTAAATACTTCTAACTCCAAGACCATTCTTTGACTATCCAACTGATCTCTCCTCTCGCAGAACCGGCACTGACCGGTCAATTTTACCACCGACTGGGTCCCCGACCACTGGCGACCGGCTCCAGCAGGTAGCCGCAGTATATTTACAGACCAGTCACAATAAAAGCCAAGGAAATCCCAAACGACGGCATGTCAGGAACCGAAAATTAGCAGAGCCATTTGTTGGATTCCATAGTCCCTCCGTTTAAAAACTCCCGCACTCCGCCTCCATTGCCCGGGCCGTGAGAGAGAGAGAGAGAGAGAGAGAGATCGTCGAGGAGAAGAGGGGGAAAGCTTTGGTGAGTTCATTTCTGCAATGCTTCTTTTTTTTGGATTGGATGCGCTTTCTTTCTTCCAGTTTTTTGTCGCGGTGTTCTCGCTTTTTTAGATTCTCGGAGGATTTGGACACTCTTGTGTTTATCTCCATCTGTCGGGCTTAATATAAATCTTTAATCACATTTCGTGGTTAATTGATTTCTTTGCAGAGGAATGTTTTCAGTCTCACTATCTGTATTGGATGATTTGGTGATGGCGTTTAGTGTTCATTTGGTGTTTTTACTGGATTTGAGCTGTTGTTGATGAGATGGTGAATCTGGACTGTTTTTTCGGTTCCTTTTTCAACATTTGTGTTTTTTATTTTTATTTTGGTTTTTGGATCTAGTCTCTCATTTGTCTTGCGAAATTTAACCAATCTGTCTGATTGCTTCGATTCTGTCATTTAACACATGCATTTACCTGAATGTTACAAGAAAATCGTCCCACTCCCCTCCCAATTTCTTGATGCATTAGAAATTTTGATGCTTATGGAAGCTTGGATTGTACCCTCTGTGATTCATATTTTTCTTCCTTCTTAAGATGACAGCCATGAATGCTTTATTTTAAGATGCATATTACTTGTGTGAGTTGTGTCTGATCCACGACTTTGTTTACGGAGGGCGAAAGCAATGGAAAATCAAAATTTTGAGGGCGAATATATATAAAATTTAAGACGTGCCGGGCATTGCATCTCAAGAACAAAATAAAAAATTCGCCCGTTAATTTTCTTATATATATATTTTTTTTCTGCTGCATTTCTTACAAGGGATTGTTCGTTTGTTCTGTTGAATTCACTGGAATTCTAATCCAGGTAAGATCATTGTCCACTTGCCACTCCCGTTCATTAGAATTAAATTGGGAACTAATCGTAATAGTAAATACCAATACTTTCACTGTTTGTCGTATTATCTGCTTTTATGGCCTAGCGCTTGTGATCTTCTTAGCATGGCATGTTTAGTTTTTTGTTTTTGTTTAGTCATTTAATATTCGAGATACGAAGCTTCCGTGCTGGTGCACATGTGGGTTTGTTGATCAGGTGAGTGTGTTCTGGATGAAAAATGAAGCATTATTGGGGTCAGCACTATAAGTTAATTGAACTTGAGACGAGTCCCTAAGTTCCAGCTTGTTGCTAGCTGGGCGTATACTCCCCTAAAATTTTTCTCCAAACAATTTTAGGAACACTCTTTCATTTTTTTTTTCTATTTATCTTAAGCTGATGTGGAATGACATGTCATCTATGCCGACAAAAATTCCTTAAACAGTATTTATTAGAAATGCGACTATTAATTGGACACAATAGAGAAAAGAAATTCATTTAGTTGATCTCATACAGTGGATAAATTATGAGGTACGGTCACCGCCGGATCCTTCGGTGGAGAATCAGGATGTGTCATGTCACTTGGTATACAATGATATATTAGCACCGGTATATGCTGATGTGGCACGTCCTAATTCGCCTCCAAACAGCGTCTGGTGACTGTACGTAATAATTTCTCGGTGGTATAAAATTTTGTTGTTATTGTCGTATTTATTAGAATTGTGCAAATCTTTAAACACTACAACCATATCAATGCGGTGAATTTTTTGGAGTTGTTTAAGATTTTTGCAAAGAGTATGCTGCATGGAATGAAATGAGATGGTACATACAAGATTTTTTATAAATTTTTTCCCATGGGTAATAGAAGGGTAAAATAATCCATTTCATATTATTACATCATTCTGCATCTTCAGTCAAATTTTTTTTGGCATATCTTCATCGTCCATCGTGTAGATAAAGGCCACTGCACTCTAATGTCCCGTTTGTGATGTTACTGATCTATGTTATCTTTCCAGTAAATATTTTGTTAAGTTAGGAAACCGAACTGATTTGAGTATGAATTAAGGGAAATAGATCCTATGCCACAAACATAGACTGAAAAGTAAAGCATATTTAGGTTTTGTTTGGGACAGCTTTTTTGTTGCTCTCTAAAATGACTTTCTAGTATAAAAATTTCTAATTCAAGAAATTTTTGTACTAAAAAGCTGTTTGAGAAAGCAGCAAAAGAACTTTCCCAAATGAAGCCTTGGTGGGAATGGGAATTTATGAAGTGATTAACCATGAAGAGAACTTTTTTCTAGTAAATAATTATAGTGGGCACTTGATTATTGATTTTTCATTTTCTAAGCGTACATGTTTGATACCATACAGATTTTTAATACTGCAATTTGAAATTGGTAGTATGTGGGATGCAAGATATTGATACTGTAGAATTGCTTAGCTTTCTTGAATCCCTGAGCTCAGAGAAAGAGAGAGGGAAGACGAGAGATAGGCGGGAAAGAATTCAATTTACTTGATTAATTACATAGTACATTTTACATCTATATAAAGGAGGTAAGTAAAGGTTAATACATTTGGTAACAGGAACAGTAATAAGGATTTGTTTTATTCGTGTTGCTCTGAGATCCCCTCGCAAACTGATGAACCGGAGATGATAGTCAGTTTGAGCCTCAGGTTTTGAAACCGTGGTGTAGCTAAGGCTTTGGTGAAGATGTCAGCTACTTGATCTGCTGTGTTGATTGGTAGAAGTCTTATTGTGTTATGTAGAATATGATCCCTCAAAAATCTGTGATCTATCTCAATGTGTTTTGTTCGTGCATGAAACACTGGGTTATTGGCAATGGCAATGGCTGATATGTTGTCGCAGTAGACGTCCGTTGGAACGGTTTGTGCAACTCCGAAATCAGCTAGTATTCGCCTAAGCCAAATGATTTCTGCGGCAAGAGAAGCTAGCGCACGATATTCCGACTCGGTTGATGATCTTGCAACTGTGTTCTGTTTCTTTACCATCCACGAAATTAGTGTGTTGCCAAGGAAAGAACAGAAACCGGATGTCGATTTTCTTGAGATTGATCCCCCGCCCAGCAGCATCTGAGAAAGAAGTAAGACAAAGATTAGATTTAGTTATCAGAATACCATAGTCTAATGTACCTTGAAGATAACGAATGAGTCGTTTGAGTAGATAGATGTGTTGAGCCATTGGTTGTTGCATATGCTGAGATAACAGATTAACATTGTAGGCAATGTCTGGCCTAGTGAGTGTTAAATACTGCAGAGATCCCGTAATTTGTCTGTATAGATGCGGATTGGCTAACGAGATTTCTGGGCTGAAATCTGAAGGGAGCTTCGTGCACGTAGGATTAGCTAACAAATTGCAGTTGGTGAGTTTGGCCATTTCGATGATCGACCTGGTATACGGTTGTTGTGAGAGGAAGTAGCAGTTCGTCGATCGTTTAATTTGGATTCCGAGAAACGAATGTGCCTCTCCTAAATGCTTCATTCTGAATTTGCGATTTAGTTGCTGAAAAACTGAGCTGATGGCTTGTGTGTTATTGCCGGTGATGAGTATATCATCAATATATACAAGAAGAAATATTTTGATATTGTCTCGTCTTAGAGTGAGTAACGATGGATCTGAGCGACTGTGTTTAAACCCAATTGTTTCCAAGAACGATGTAAAGGTGTTGTACCATTGCCTTGGTGTCTGCTTGAGTCCATACAGTGCCTTGCAAAGTAAGCATATGTAGTCCGGATTTAATTCGTCTTCGAATCCGATCGGTTGCTTCATATACACGATTTCAGTGAGGTTACCGTGAAGGAACGTGTTGGCAACGTCAAGTTGATGTACCGGCCAATCGTTATGCAATGCAACAGTGAGGAGAATACGTATAGTTGGTAGTTTGGCCATGGGACTAAACATCTCTGAGTAATCCAAGCCATATTCTTGTTTGTTACCCTGAGCGACGAGCTGAGCTTTATGTTTGGCGATGGATCCGTCATTGTGATATTTAGTTCTATATGTCCATCGACACCCAAGAATTTGTTTGTCGTTGTGTCGTGGAACTAACGTCCACGTTCCTTGTTGCTGTAATGCCACAAATCCAGTTGCCATGGCCCTTCTCCATTCGGGATTTTTGTTGGCGTTGTGGAAAGATTTGGGATCTTTATTTATTGGAATGTCTGTATGCTTGTGAAGTAAATTGAGACAAACGCGAGGCTTCAACGAACTAGTTTTCGTTCTCGTTTGCATATGATGCCCAGCATGGTCTGAGGTATGGATGTTTATTGGTTGTAACTCAGGGGCTGGAATGAGTTGTTCAGGAGAATCATTCAGAGGTGAAGTTTGCGGTATAGTGTGTATGCTTGTTGTAGGTTGGTGAGGCACCGAGGATTGCTGTAACAGTGATGTTGGTGTGAGAAAGAACTGAGACGCCTCAGATTGCTGCATTGGTTTAACCTTCTCTTGCTTGGTGAAAGGGAAGTGTTTTTCGTCAAACAGCACATGTCTTGATATGATGATTTTATTAGTGCTAATGTTGAGACACTTGTACCCTTTGTGCTGATGAGAGTATCCTAGGAATACGCATACATGTGCCTTTGATTGCAATTTGTTCCGGAATTGTGCCGGAGTGTGAGGAAAACAAGCACAGCCGAAAATTCGAAGCTCATTGTAGTTTGGTTTCCTGTTATGAAATAATTCAAATGGAGATAAGTTGTTAGTATTGGGTGATGGCATTATGTTAATAAGATAGTTAGCGGTGAGCGTAGTGTCCGGCCAGTATTGGTAAGGAATAGATGCCGAGTCCAGAAGGGTTCTTGTCGTCTCAATGAGAGGCTTGTGCTTTCTTTCCGCCACTCCGTTTTGCTCAGGCGTGTATGGGCAAGATAGTTGATGAGAGATGCCATGCTTGGTAAGAAATTGTGTGAACTCCGTGCTTGAGTATTCTCCGCCACCGTCTGTGCAAATGCACTTAATTCTTTGTGAGGTAGCATTCTCAATATTAGTTTTAAATTGCATAAAAATATCTAGAACTTCAGATTTCCTTGTCATATGAAAAGCCAGGAGAAACGAGAATAGTCATCTACGAAAATCACATAGTAAAGCTTGCCCGTGTGTGAGGGAACCGGTGCCGGTCCCCATACATCGGAGTGCAGTAAGTGTAAGATAGACGTTTGCCTGGTAGTTACATGATCAAAATCAAGTTTATGATTCTTGGATTTGTTACAAGAATGACAAGAAAAATAATAACTATTGATATGCAAATGTGGATTTGTAGAGGCTATCCGAGCAAGTGCTCTTGTGTTGGGATGGCCCAATCGTTCATGCCAGAGAGTAGATTTCGTTGCAGCTGAGGTAAGCGCACGTTGAGGTTGGGAGATAGTCGGAGTTCTCAACGGATAGAGTCCGTCTTGACAAGGTCCCCTAAAGATTTTCTTAATTGTTCTATAAATCCTTAAATACAAAACCACTCGGATTAAAAGTTATGGATATGTCATTATCCTTAGTGAGCTGAGATATGGATAAGAGATTATAATGTAAAGGAGTGTGAAGTATTTGATTAAGGATAAGCTTACGTGAGGGAGTCGGTAGCAACCCACGACCGGAGTTTTCGATGCTAACCGAGCTCCCGTCTCCGACGATGACTCCATCGTGACCGCTATATGGTGTTGCAGTGGACATATTATTCATGTTTCTGGTCATGTGGGAGGATGCCCCTGAGTCCAGATACCAGTCAGTGTACTGTGTCGATGTATCAGCCACCATTGCTCTATTTGGAGGTTTGGTCATTCTCGGAGCGTATTCCATGTACTGTCTATGCCAACAGTCAAGCGTATTCTGGAGCATATGGCTACTGCAAGATTCTGATCTGTGAGCAGCCATTGTGCATATTCTGGATTTGTCGTGATTTGGCCATCGGAAAGAGTAGTCGACGGCGATGGTATTGGAGTTTTGTCATCAAGAAATGATGAAAACCCATTGGCACGGCAGATCTTGAAGATCTGAGACCGCCATAAGTTGTAGTTGTCGGCAGAGAGAGGGTTCTGAACAAATGTTTTTCAGATTCGAGATGACAAACTTGAGCGAGGAAGAGATCATCGGAGTTGAGGCGTTTGTCGTCTCGGTTTGTTCCGAGATTTAAGATAGACCGGAGGTTGTCATTGATTTCCCTGGATCAGTGAGCCTTGTCTGATACCTTGTAGAATTGCTTAGCTTTCTTGAATCCCTAAGCTCAGAGAAAGAGAGAGGGAAGACGAGAGATAGGCGGGAAAGAATTCAATTTACTTGATTAATTACAGAGCACATTTTACATCTATATAAAGGAGGTGTCAGAAATTCTGTACAAACCTGTACCGATCGTCCCAGGACGATCCAACTTCGTCCTGAACGATCCTGGAAGGAAAACATGGAAAACTGGCTCTCACAATAGATCCTATGCCACAAACATAGACTGAAAAGTAAAGCATATTTAGTGGGAGTTTATTAACTGAGTAACCATGAAGATAAAACTTTTTTCTAGTAAATAATTATGGTGGGAACTTGATTATTGATTTTTCATTTTGTAAGCATACATGTTTGATAACTGACAGATTTTTAATACTGCAATTTGAAATTGGTAGTTTGTGGGATGCAAGATATTGTTACCCTACATAGAAATTGAAATTAGGTACAAAAGTACTGTTTAAGTAGTCCCTTCATTTTCATTTCTAAAATGGTTTAGTCTCAATACCCTTAACGCATGTTATTCACCTTCAAGTTGACTCTAATTAATTAATTTATTTTGTCAACTTTTTGGTATTTGTTTATAAATTCTCGAACATGTCCTATGCTTGAAGTAAGCATGCTAATCTTTTTTTCCCTTTCTTTTACATTTCACATATGAAAAAAAAGAAAATTTATAAGTGCTTTTGTTAAGAATGAAAGCAAAATAAAATCACAAAAATATATAGAAATATTATTTTGCGTTGTATGAAATTACTTACATTTACTACCTGTATGGATTTCACTATTTTTTTAGAATTACAAATGCCAAAGCTTTTCAATAAACACTTCACATCTTCCATATGCAAGAACTAAATTTAAATGAAGTGTTGTACAATTCATCATGGAAGAAAACGTTGAAGCTTCTACCTAGACTATTTTTAAATTAATTTGTAAAGTTTCAATTTTCATAAGCATGGCTAACACTGCGTATCTAAAGCTATGAAAATGTTGCCTTGCAAGAAACTGAATACATATAATGAGTAGTGGCACAGAGTTATTATCTCATAAAAGTTAAAATTCTGTAATTTCAATAGAAAATTCCATAAAAAGCATACTTTCCAACAAAAGATTGATGGTTAGACTGAACAAATGTGACTTAAGATCACATCCTGTCATGTAGTTTTGGTGCTTGCTTTTCATTTCTAAAGTTTAAACTCAAAAGTTTTTACCAGAGTTTTTTCATTCACATTTTACTGCGTTCTTCCATTTACAATTTCCTTCATGTTGTTGATTGCATCACCTCGTGCTTTATTATGCATGTTAATACTTATCATATTCACTAATAATCAAATAGGTGGTAATTTCCTATGTAACATAAAAATTTGTCCACTTAAAAAAAAATAACACCCATCCATCTCTATTTGCAATACGACCACCAGTAATTTCCTATGAAACAAGTCCACTCCGTACTTCTATGTTTTAGTGAATTTTCAATGAATTATTCTTGAAAAATTGCAATGGCTTCAATAATTTTTTTTTTTTAATGAGTGTCCTAAATTGTAGAGGTCATCGCTTGCATTCAAATTTTTTCTTGCAATTAGTTAACTAAGATTCAAAATTTGATTATATGGAATTTCTTACAGAATGTAATGTACCCTTGGTTAGTTTCTGAGTTCTCTAGCAAGTCCTTCAGATTATCAAGGTGTTACTGAAAGCATGCTAAAGATAGTTTTGCATTTCATCCAAATGATGCGCACCGGTCAGTAGTTGTAGTTGGTAATAGTGCTGCAATGGGTGCCAAAGAGAATGGAGTGGGAAGACTAGACCGTTCTGCAGACTTTGAAAAGGAAAGTCAACAAGGAATTGAAGTAGAATCAGAGTTTGAGTTTGCACAATACTCTCTTTCATCACACATTAACGAATACAGCAACAAGGTAAGGAGGAATTCAAGAGCTCCTAAAATTGCAAAGAAAGAATCAAGTGGAAGCTATCTTCGTCCAACAAAAATTAGTGTTAGCCGCCAAGAGCAGAAGAACCAAGACCAGAAAAATCTGCAATTGAAGTCATCAAACAATGGGATAAAGAAATCTCAGAAACCCAATAAAGTTGCTTCTTCCCCAATAAACCTTGACATTAAAACATCAGAAAACGCTGTAGTTCCTCTAAGGCCTTCCTCTGAGTCATGCGTAAGATCAAATGGTAAGACAATTGAAGAGGTCAAGGAAATAGACATCTTTGATGAGGCTCCAGTTTGTGATATAAGTGTTGGAACTGATGATTCGATAGCTGATGCAGAAGAGAATAATCTAGATGATGTTAAGTCGAGTGCTTATCAAAAGGTTGACGAACTGGAACTCAGGATTGAGAAGCTTGAAGAGGAGCTTAGGGAAGTTGCTGCCCTTGAGATTTCCCTTTATTCTTTTGTACCAGAACATGGAAGCTCAGCACATAAAGTGCATACCCCTGCTAGGCGTCTTGCTAGACTTTATATTCATGCTTGCAAGCATTGGAGTCAGGATAAGTTAGCAACTGTTGCCAAGAACACTGTTTCAGGGCTTGTTCTTATCGCCAAATCATGTGGTAATGACGTTCCAAGGTAATGAGGCTGTTATCACCTCAAATTTAGAGCCTATTATTGTATTTTTTTCTACTTGGCATGGCAAGTATTCCTCTCATGTTGCAGGTTAACTTTTTGGTTATCGAACACAGTTGTTATAAGAGAGATTATTTGTCAAACTTACGGCAGTTTTACTACATCAAGTGTGGTTATGAGGCCTTTAGATTCAAGCTGCTGTGCTGTGAAGTCCGGAAGTGGGTTACAAAAGTTTAAAAATAACTCTGAAGGTAAACAAGGAAAGATGCATGGATTTGTCCAAATAGATGGCTGGCAGGAGCCAAGCACATTTATTGCCGCACTAGAGAAACTTGAGTCTTGGATATTCTCCAGAACAGTTGAATCAGTTTGGTGGCAGGTAAACTGCAAATAATGAACATTTACCATCCACAAGTTTTTTTTTTCCACTTGAGGAACACGCATTTTATGAGATAATCTTTATCATCTTGTGATTGATTTAAGAAACTAAATTTTTTTTAATAATGCCTCACCTAAATGGGATGTTACCTACTAATCAATCTTATATCTGACCTGAACTGAAATTTCATTATTCCTTTTTTATATCATTCGTGGTTGTGTTTCCAGGCCTTGACTCCACATATGCAGTCTCCGGTTGAGGACTTATACAATCATAAACGCATTGGCAAACTGTTTGGACCTTCTTTGGGTGATCCTAAGCAACGGAACTTTTCTGTGAACTTATGGAGAAGTGCTTTTCACGATGCTTTATCCAGGCTCTGCCCAGTTCGATCAGGAGGGCATGAGTGTGGTTGCTTGCCTGTGTTAGCAAGATTGGTATGTGCTGAAAAAAAAAGGCCGTTTCTTGTGTTTTTTTAAGAATTTTGTCATATT